TATATTGACTTTATTATTTTATTACTGTATATATATATGTATTTTATTACTGTATATGACCTAATTTATCACCTAATAAAAAAAATTTAATTCCTTTTATTGTAGCATATATTATTGAACTATAAATACTCTCATTTTATTTTCATTAAAATCAATTAATTTTATATCTGCCTCATGTTTCATTTAATATTTAAACCTTTCTTATTATTTATATTCCCCTATTTTATTAGAGAATTAATTATTATTATTTTTATTCATAGAATTTTTATTTTTTTTCTCATTATTTTTAATATTATCTATATTTTTTATATCTTTTTTTCTTAGTTTTATTAATTTTCTTTTTTTTCTTAATTTTCTTAATTTTTTTTTTTGTACTATTTATATTTAAGACATAATTATTATCATTTATATTACTATTATTATTTATTCTGATTTTTTTATTTTCCATTCTCATCATTTATATTGAATTATCTACTCCCAAAGTTGTAACTATTACTTCATCTAATCTTGGAGACAGAGCAACTTAATGAATAGTATGTTCTGGTGTATATAAGTCTATAATTTAATAACCTGTAAAATCATAAAAAAGAATTGAATTATTTTTCAATTAAACAAATATCATATAATTTTGGGAAGTATCATGTATTGTTTTATATTAAAAAGTATTAATAAAATTTAAGTTTTGGATTGGGTAAGTTATATTAAAAGAAACTTTTTTCATAACTTTACTCATAAATTGCTTTTGATTTATATTTTGTTGGGCTGATTTTTATTTTTCCCTTTAATATTTATCAAAATTATAGGCTATGCTTTCTTATATTATTCTTTGTACTTTTTTACTGTTAAAATAATAATTAAAAAATTCAGAAGAACATTCCAGTTTTTTATTTATATTTTCAGATTTTTATAATTAGTCATAGTATTGTTTTAATAAAGAGTGTTTTTTCTTATATAGATATATTAAAGATTATGTTTTTTAGATTTCCTCATCAAGTTATATTAAGTCTTTTTATAAATATAATTACTTCATTTTACTTATGCTACAAAATACCAGTTTATGCATAAAAACTATTATTGTTATTATTATATACATGAATTTCATGTTTTTTTTTTTTTTTTAATGAAAATTTTTAATGAATGTATTTTTTAAAAAAATTGTATAAAATATTTTGAGATATATATATATAAATACTTATTATATTTTTTTAAAAAAATAGTAATTTATTAATGAAAAATTAAGTTTTCTATTTATTTATTTTATTAATAAAAAATAAGTAAAATAAAAAAAAATAATAAAAAAAATTTAAATATAAAAAAGAAAAAAAGAAAAATATAATAATAATAAAAAATTAAACATATAAACAAACAAAAAAACTCCAAATATAATTTAAAAAAAAAAAAAAAAACTATATGGACTCAGAAACAATATCATTATCTCTAATTAACAAAAACATAGACTACTAAATAAAATATAAATTAACTCAAAATTCCATATAAATACAATTAGAACACAAAACAGATTTATAAATGTGGTAAAATATCTACACTTCCACCTATATAGAAGATTTAACCTAAAAATCAGGATTAAAATAGACTCTAACTGATTTTTTCGAAATTCTTTAAAATTCCTTAAAAAATTAAAAAAATGAAAAATATTCTTTGGATATTCTCACATATTAAGACTTAGAAGCGTTAAGAAATTCAGAAAAATCAAAAGATAATTAAAATATTATTATTAATAATAATAATAAAAGATATTTAATACTAAAATACAATACTGAAACTTAAAAAATACACTATCCATTAAGTTTAAATATAGTCGATTTATAAAATGTGGAAATATTAAAATCTCATGTATTATCTTTAAAACAAGAACTTGATGATTTAAGAGAAAAACAAAGTTAATTCGACAATACATCGAAAGCTTCTGAATCTTCAAAATGTTTTTTCTTAACCGAAAAATAAATATAAGATAAATAAGTAATATCAACAAATTTTACTATGTTAGATTAATTAAAAAACGAAAACGAATTATTAAAATAACGAATAAAAAGGATGGAATCATCATTTTAATAATCTAAAGGGGCAGTTGAGTTAGATAATATTGTAAAATCTAAATTCGAATTGGAAGAGGAATTAGAAATTGTTAGAAAAGGAAGTCTTTAGCATATATAGAAATTACAAAGTGCTATAGAAGAGAAAGAAGAGGAAGCTTCTAAATCTAAAATGTTGTTTTTTTAAGTTTAGAGGGAAATAGCTGAACTTTTAGGGAAAAATAAAGAAATGGGAGAAAATGAAAGTTTTTAGAAACTAAAAGATTGCGTATTTAAGATTAGTTAAGAAAGTGAGTCTTAAGTCTAGAATTCAAAAAAATAAATATAAAAATAAAATAAAGAATTGGAGAAAAGTTTATAGGAAATTGAAAGTCTGAAAATCAACGATAGGAGGTAAAAATAAAGAATTAAATAACTAGAAGTTGAATTAGAATAATCTATTAAAAGGATTTCTGCGAAAAATACTACAGATAGGCTTTATTCTCCATATACAAAAAATAATAATGGTAGTTCTTTGGCTAACAGAAGGGCAAGTTCAGTCCCAGCAAAACCTTTTGTTAGTAAAATTAATCGAAATGTAAACTCTAATATTAGAAATATTAGCCCTGTGGCTAAGAAAATTAGTGTTTCATCGGCTAATATTGTTAAAAATAATGTTTAAGTTAAAAAAGTGAATAATTTATCACCTGGTATTAATAATTATAGTAATAATAGATATGGTAATTAAAGGAATAATTTTATTTCGAGTAATTCCCCAAAAAATAGTTAAAATAATTCTAAACACAATATTCCTGTAAAAAGATAATTTGGAAGTAATTATTCAAATAATATTCTTAATAATAAAAAAAACTCTATAAGTCCTAGTTCAATGAATTTTTAGAAAAATAATACTATTAATAATAGTAATGATAGAAAATTATTAAAAAAAATAGAAGAAGTTTAAAAATATAAAATAATTTAAAATTAAATACCTAAATAATATCAAGATAATCATTTAAATATTAAAAACGTTAGTGATATAGATAAAAGATTAAATCATTTATAAAATATCTTAAAAATGGCAAAAAAATGAAAATATTTATATATTTTTCATATCATTTTATTTTATTATTATATATATTCTTTTTTTTCATTTAATTATTACATATTATATTAATTTAATATACTATTTTATATTAATTCGTCATTTTTATTAGATAAATATGTTATTTATTGAAAAAATTAGTCTATTAGATGTTCAAAATTAGTTTCTTTTACTACTTTAGACATCGTTTCTATTTATTTTTCTAATATTTAATTTTCAGTTTTAAAAATATTTAATTCATTGTTTGTTTTTTATAAATCTTCATTTTTTTAAATTAATTCTTGTATGTTCTTGTTATTGTTCTCTTAAAAAGAAAGGAGTTATTTTTTTTATTTAATTATTATTTCTTATAGCTGTTTATTTTCGTTTATTTTTTAGTCTATTAATGCTTATAATTATTAGTTTTTTTATATTTATTCAGAATTTTCATTTTCTAAAATATTTATTTTCTAAAGTATTATTTCTTCATTTATCTATTATATATAGTTTTTTACTATATAATGTTTTTTTATATTATTTTACAGAAAATTTATTATTCATTTTATATGTATCATCATAATTTTAGGATTAATTGTTATTATTACTCAATAGTATATCTGAAAATAATATATTATGATGATTTATGGGAGAAAATTAAGAAATTTATTCGTTATTTTATTTATGGTTAATTCTAATTTAGTAAGATTACATTTATTCATTTTTTTAATTATTTTATTTAACTATTTCATCATATTATATTTATTTTGTTTACTTTGTTTTTTTATTAATTTAAATAAAAAAAAATTGGATTTTTTTTTTTAACTAATTCTTATATAAAATTATTTGATATTTCTTCATTTATTTTTTATAGTTTTTTATTTGTAAAATATAAGTTTTGTATTATTTTTCTTAAATTTTATATTTCTTCATTTTTTATTTTTACATATTCATTTAAATTCTTATTGTTTTATATTAATTATTCTAATTTATTTTCTATTTCTTGCCATTTTTATTCACAAATATTTAATGCTTTTTTCATTATTTTATATATGTATTATATATATATATATGTTTTTTTATTTAAAATATTTATTTTATTAATTTATAAATTAAAAAAATTTGGCAATTTTGATATTTTTTAATTATTCAACAATACTATTATTTATTAAAAAAATTTATATATATATAGCATTTAGTTTTTTTAATGTTTATATTTAATTTCATTTCATGATAAAAATTCTATTGAATTAATTTTTTTTATTATATAATAAGTAATTTATATTTTTTTAAAAAATTATCTTCATAACATAATAAATTTAATATTATTTTTAAATATATAAAATTAATAAAATTTAAAATTAACAAATAAAATATTATTTTTTTTTCATTATTTTTTAATTTCCTTTTAATATTTTTTTTTTCAAAAACAATTAAAGTAAGTTTGCATACATTCTTATATACACGCGAAAATTTCTAAATAAAAAAAGTATAAAAAAAAGATTAAAACTAACTAAAATTAAAAAGAAACTTCCGATTTAAAATAAAAAAACTTCTAATTTACGCGCTTTAAAATATAAAATAAATAAATAAATAAATAAAAAAAAATGCTATCAAAAGTATCAAAACTCCCAAAAAAAAAACTTCCAAAATAATCAAAACTAACTTAAAACTTTATAAAACTACCTTTAAAAGAAACACCTGCTGTCCTTCCCATTGAATCTACAAACTCACCTTTAGGAACTGGTAATATACCGGCAGACATTTGTAAACTGAAAATATCTGCTTGGAACGTAAACGGTTTGAGAGCTGTTTTACGTCGAAAAGATTTCTAAGCTTATATAGAAAATAATAATCCAGATATATTATGCCTAAACGAAACTAAAATAGATTAAGAAGCATTTAAAAAAGAAAAAATATCATCACAAATTCCTCCCGCCTATTACTAATATTGGTAAATATCTTTTTAAAAAATACTTTTATTTAAATATATATAATAAATAGGAATTTCTGTAAACCTCCATTTAAGGGATATTCTGGTGTAGCTATATTATCAAAATTCTAACCTTTAAGTATAAAAGAAGATATAGATATAGAAATGCATTCATAAGAAGGTAGAGTACTATAAGTAGAATTCGAGAACTTTTTTTTAATAGTAGTTTACGTTCCAAACGCAGGTGATGGACTTAAAAGATTAGATTATAGGGTGGGTTAATTTGATCGAGATTTTTAGAATTATATAAATAAATTAAAATTAATTAAAAATGTAATTGTTTGCGGTGATTTAAATGTAGCACATATGCCTATTGATTTGAAAAATCCATAAACTAACACTAAATCACCTGGATATACTATTGATGAGAGAAACAGCTTTAGTTAATGGCTAGAAAGTGGCTGGGTAGATACTTTTAGACATCTTTATCCGTAGAAAATTATGTATTCATGGTGGAGTCCAAGGAATGGGGCCAGAGCAAAAAATATTGGATGGAGGATTGATTATTTTGTAGTCTCAAAGGGGTTCGAATAGTTTGTAGAGGATTCAATTATTAATAATGATATTATTGGAAGCGATCATTGTCCTATTGAGTTAATTGTTGATATTTTAAAACTATAGGAAAGCTTTAAAGTTAAAAATTAAGAAAATGTAAATGATTTAAATATTCATAATAAAGAAATAGATAATAAAGATAATAAAAATAGTAAAAATAAAAAAAATGAAGAATTTATAATAATATGAATTAATATTTATTGACTAAATATATTATAATTTATTATATATTTATATATAAAAGCTTTTATATATTAATTATTTTATTTTATTTTTAAATATAAAATACTAATAAATATATATGTGAAAAATAATATTTTGTTTTAAAAAATAAAATTTGATTTAAAATTATTATATATAAGTTTATAGAAAAAATAATAAAAATTTATGCAAAAAAGTAATATATATAAATAAGATTTTAGCATTTTTTTATATTTCTGCATAGTTTTTTAAAAATAAAAACAATCTAAAAAAATAAATTTGTAATTGATTTTTTTTCAATATAGATTTAATCAAAAAAATATATAAAAAAATATAAAAAAAACATATTAAAATTAACTTATATATAATTATATTTATATACACTTTTTAGATTAATTTTTTTTTTTTAGATGATTTAAAAATAATTAAACAAGAATTTTTTATTTAATTTATTTTTATTTTTTACATATAATTATTGTAATAAAGTTTAATTTTTTTTTTTATGTCTTTATTTTTTATTAGGAAATTGAAATTTTCGAAATAATTCTAATTTATAATTTTATTTAAAATTTATTTCTTCATATTTTCATTTAGTTCTGAAGATTTTAATTTTATGTATCCATTAATTTATTTTATCCTTTAACAAATATATTCATACCAAAATATTTACTTTTATTTATTGCTATTATTTTTAATTTTTATTAATTATTATTTAATTCATTATATGTTTCATGTTAGTTTGTTATGGTATTTTTTTTTTTAATAAATATTTATATACTTTAGATTTATATAGTAATTAAATATAGAGAGTAATATATATTATGACCTTAATATTTATTTTAATGTGACAATGAGGAATTAATTTAACTTGTATTAAAGCTTTTCTATATTCTAGTAAATTTTAATTTTATTAAAGCAAAAAAAAAAAATGGAATTTTTCCAATATTATCTATTGGTATATCAAATAATTTAATATTTTATTTAATACATAAAATATATTTATAAAAAAAAACTATAAATTATCTAAAATTATATATTTTATTGTATGATTAAATAAATAATTTATAAATTTATTTAAAATATAATAGAAAGCATTAATATTTTTTAATAAATAATTCTTATGTAAATAAATAATTAATTTTTAATATATATAAAAAAAAAACCTATAAGTTATTTTAAAAAAAATATTACAATATTTTATTTCTGAATATAGTAATTAATAATTTCATTTATATACAGAAAATTATCTAGAAGTATTACATTTGCTGCTATAATTTACACTATTTTAAATAACAGCTAAATTTCTTTATTATTAAGTGTTATCTTAGATAGAATTTTTGATTATATTTAATTATTATTTAATAGTCATTGGAATATCATCATATTAATTATTTTATTATTATATAATAGTAATTGGAATATCATCATATTAATTATTTTATTATTATATAATAGTAATTGGAATGTCATCATATTAATTATTTTCTTCTTTAATTTTACTTAATAAAGCATTTTAATCGAATTTTTAATTAATTTCATTGAATTAATTATAACCTTAATTTTATTATTATAAACTTTAAGAACGATTTTATTAATGACAAATATTTTATGAATTACTTTTAATTTATTAATTTATTGTTTTTTTTCCATTTCTAAAATACATTAATTTTATTAATTTAAAGCTTCATATTATTAATTTACTAAATCTAGTTTTGTTTTTTAATTTAATTATTTATTATATATATAAATAATTTTATTTTTACTTAAAATATAATCTTTTTTTCAAGTAATTTTTCTTAAATATTTGGATTTTAATTAATTTATTTTCTTTCATCTGGATAAAATAATGTATTTTATATTTATTTGTTTATTTTATTTTCTTCTTCATTTACTTAAATTTAATTATTATTTCCTCTTTAATAAAATTAAATTTGAATATATTCCTTTAATTAAATATAATTTTCTGATAAAGCCTGCTATTAATTTGTCATTTAATTTATATCCAAAGTTAGATTATGAACTTATTATAATAATAAATTTATTTTGTGTACTAAATCATTTACTAGTTATTATGGAATTTCTTTAAATTAGCTTATTTAAGGTACTTCTAAAATTAAATGACTAAGTAAGTTTTGATTATTTTCATTTTAAAAATTGTTATTAATATTCTGTATTTCTTCTGGATTTAATTTTTTTTGTTATGTTCTTTATTATGATAAAAAAGTTTGATTTTTTTTTCTGAATTGCTTTTATTGAATTATGGATGAGAGTTTTTTATATTCATTTTTTTAATTAAATATTTTAATCAAAATTTATAACATTTTATTACTTTTTGAAAATATATTATAATAAAAAAAAAAATTATGGCTAATAATTTAATTAAATTTTTGTAAATAGTCAAAATAAAAAATATTTAATTATATTTTTTTATTTTTATAAATTAAAAAGATTTTTTAAATTATTTTGTAAAAATAAAAAAACTAAATATAACTTTATATTAATTAATATAAAATAAAAATATCTATAGAAATAAAAAATATATTTTTTTTTTATAATATATTACGTATATAAATATATTAAATAACTTTATATATTACATTTTTATTGTTTTTAAACTTTTATATTTATCAATATATTTATACAATTAAATATTCTATATATCTATTATAAAACTAATATTTTTGTATATAATATTTTAAATCATATAAAATTCATATTAATATTAATAATAAATAATATATTATTAATTATTGTAAAAAAATTAAGATACAAAAATATACAATAAAAATTATATAATCACATAAAAAAAAAATGCTAATCGAAAAAAAAAAAAAAATGTATTATTAAAAAAAAATAAAAAATTAATTAAAAAAGATATATATATTTTTATTAGTAATTTTTAATATTAAAAAAACTTAAATATATATTAGTATATATAAAAAATATATATATTTATATTTATATATATATAATATATATATATATATATTTAAATAAATATATATATATTTATTTTTATACACATTATATTATTTTATATATATTTTATAAATTTATTATTTTTTTTATAATTTTATCATTTTTTCAAAGCTAATGCTATCCATCCTAAAATCATACACATCCCTCCAAAAGGAGGGTAAATCTTTGAATAATCATCTTTTTAAGTAAATGCTTTATGATACAAAGAAGCACAAAATAAAGCAGTTCCTAATATAAATAATACAGAACTTAGTTACATTGATTAATTAACAAATGAGCTTAATATTATTCCTGCTCCATTAGTAAAATGATAAAACTGAGCCTTTTAAAATGTATCTTTTCGTTCTTAAGTCCATTCTTTTTTATGACCACCAGCTGCGCCCACAATTACTAGAAAAGCACAATTCATACATCCTAAAAAATGTGAACTCATTTTTAATATTTATAAAAAATTAATAATAAATATTTTTAATATTTTTCATATAATTACAATTAAAAATAATTTTTAGATATATTATATATTTTTTATTTATAATAATTTTTTTTATATTTAATAATTATAAAAAAAATAATAAACAATAATTATTAATATTTAATATATTATAAATGTTTAATTTTTTATTTAATAATTTTATGATTACAAATATTTTTTTATTTTATATGTGAAAATAAAATAATAATAAATATAATTTGATTTTTTTAATAATTTATAAATTATTTTTAACTTATAAAATAAAAATTATAAGATTTTTAAATATTTTATTTATTTATTAAATTAATATTTTAGTACTTATATTATGAAGAATATAGTTAAATGAATTTATTATGTTCATAAAATATATATTTATAAAACAGAATTTTATTCATATTTATTTAAAAAAAAAAAAACAATAATTTTATATGAATTATCAAAATATTTTATTTTTTATTTTATAAAATTTTATATAAAAATAAATACCATTAATATATAAATACTATAATAAACATAAAGTAAAAAAAAAAATGAATAGTCCTTAAAAAGGTTAACTAAAATAAGAAATTTCAAAATTGCGTGAAAACTCTTAAAGAATGTTATAAATGTTTGAATTATTGGATAAAAAAAACGAATAAAACATTCTATTAATGCAAGAAAAGAATGTCATTTTATAAGACTTGTAATAAAAACTTGAAAACTCAATTAATATGTAATAATAATCAAGTTTATTTTAAGCGAATTAAAGTAAACCATTTTTAGATTTATTGAAAGAAATATAAAACGAGGAATAATAAATAAATGATTTGAGTTAAAGATGTAATGAATTGGAAAAAAAATAGTAACTAGCATAAGAAGGGAAAATTAAAAATGAAGATAATAATAAAGAAAATAAAAATTTATAAGAAAATATTACCAAATTTAAATAAAGAATTAAAGATTTAGAAGATAAAAATAATTCTTAATTTGAAAAGGCGAAAAGACTAGCACAAGAATTTTTTGTTATTTTGATTTTAATTGTTATTTTTAGTCTTTTTAAACATTTAATTGCTTTGATATGAAAAAAAAAAACTATATTTTTTTATTTTGATGATTAAAAATAAATACATATATTTATAAATAATACTTTTTTTTTTATTAATGAAATTTAAATTTCGAAATACTTTAGTTATTATTATTAATTAAAAATATAGTATTAATTTATGAGTAAATTAAAAAAAAATATATATTTAAATAAAATATAAAAATATATAAATATAAATAAATATAAATAAAAATATAATAATATATATATATTTTATATATATAATATATTATATTAATTTATTTTTTTATATATAAAATTATATAAAATATATTAATTGATATTTTTTTTTAAAAAAAAATAGCATATAAAAAAAATTATTTTTAATATAAAAAAATTTATTTATATCATAATATATTTTTTTTAATTATGTATTATTAATTTTTTTTCTTGAAATAAGTTTCTCCAGTTTAATTAGCCGAATTTTCTATTTAAAAATTATTTTTCATTTACCTAAAAAATTTATAATTAGTTTTAAATTTGATTATTATATTTTTATTTACTTATATTTTTCTACTTTTTTAGATAAATTATTATAAATTATTAGCTTTTTTTAAATAATATCATCAAATAATTAAATATAATTATCTGTTTCCGATTCTTCAAATTATTCATTTTAATATTAATTCAAAAGATTTTTTTCAATAAATAATAATTAAGCATCTTCCTTTTTATTTTTTTAATTTTTTTAAAATAGATTAATAAAAAAATAAATAAACTTATATAGCAGCCAGTTATTAAGATAATAATTACATTTATTTTACCTTCATTTATTTATTTTAACATTAATCTATTTTATTATCTGAAATATTATTCCTAAATTCTCTCAATTTATTTTATTTATTATTTATTTAAATAAAATCATTAATATGATAATTTTTTTATTTTTTTTCAGAATTATATTACTATTTTATTTAATTATTATAATTAATATTTTTTAATATATAATTTATTTACATAAAATTGATCATTTGTTTTATAAATTTGATTTATTTAATTTAAAGATTTTTTTTATATTTTTTCTTAATCTAAAATATCTTATTTTTCAATTTTTATTTATTAAAGCCTTCTTATATGAGATTATTAAGAATTACTTTTTTTAATATAACTATCTATATTTTTTTCTTATATAAATATATTCTTTCTAATTTTATTTTTATAAGGGGTTTCCATAATTTAAGGGTTTTCGATATTATCTATTTCTTAGTTTAATTTACATTCTTCTAGTTTTTAAATTTCTTAATCATATTAAATTTTTTTTATGTTTTCCTCTTCCATTTATTTTATTATTTCTTCTTTATTAGATTCTGTTTCTTTTAATCTATCAGCATATCTAATTTTATTTAAAATAATATTAATTTATGCGTAAAATATACCTTAAAGTATTCACAGTATGGTCTGCTGAAGAAGAACCAGGAGAAATGCATGCTAACATAATAATTTTAGAAGAAAATCCTTTATTCAAAAAAGAATCTCTTAAAACTAAAGTTAATTTAGAACCTCTAAAAGGTACATGCATAGCTCCTTTATCCATTTATCTGATACATTCTTTTAAAGCAAGTAAACTTTATTTTAATATATATAAATATATATATAAATATATATAAAATATATATATATATATATATATATATATATATATAAAAATACATAAATATATATATAATAAATTAATTATAAGTTAATTACCTTTTATTAATTTCAGCACCTTCTTATTTTCTTTATTTAGAATTTCCTTAACAATCTTAAGCTCTTTCACTTCCTGCTAAATCAACCATAATTAATTTTCCAACAATTTTTTTTTAGTCATTTTTAATTTAAATTAAACAAATTGCATGACTTCTAGAACTTACTTCATTTGCTTCTGTTTAATGCGTACTTTTTAAATATATATATATATATATAAATATATATATATATATATATATTTATATTTATATTTATATTTATATTTATATTTATATATACATAAATATATATAAATATATATATATTTTATGTGTTTCTATATTTTTATTTCTTTTTAAAATATTTTTTTTTTTTTATTTTTAAATAAACTTAATGAGAAAAAAAATTATTTATGAAATATATCATAAGGAATAAACAAAATTGCTTTAAAATGTTATACATATATACTTATATTAAAATTTAAAAAAAACCTTCTTATATTGGCTGCTTGTGTTAAAATATTTTCTACTTCTTCTTAATTATTTACTTATACTTCCATTAAATTATTTACTTAAATATTATTATTTTTATCTTCTAAAATTTATAATTGATTTCTTTCATTTAATAGATCATAACATCTAATTTTTTTATTATTTAAATTTTAATTTAAAATATAACATACTTTCCTCCGTAAATTTCATAAAAACTAATAAAAATATCAAATGAATTTCCTTTATTTTTAAAAATATCACTCACATAATTTTTTTATAATTCTTTCATTGTAAAAGTTTTCCCACTACCTGTTTATCCATATGCAAAGCAAGTCACGACCCCATTTTAAAAAATAGTATTTATAATTGGCTATAAACTATATTTATAAATATCATCTGTAGTTTAGTTTTCTGAAAAAGCATTGTCAAATTAAAAATCGTGATTTTCAACATATTTGGTTATACCATCTATTTTATATTTAGGTTCATGTATTCTAATTATTGGATTTGAGCATGAAACCGAATCGATTTCGCCTTCTTCTTCCTCTTTTTAAGATATAGGTCTTTTTCGTACTATTACAGTAAGTTTTGTTTATTATATAAATTAATGTGATAATGGGTTTGATAGTCTCTCTTTATTTACTAAATATTCGAATTCTGGATCTACATTTTTCTTACTTTCTTTTATTTATTGTTCTCTTTCAAGCTTTTCTTATTTCATTTATATCATTTTTTCACGACGTTCTTGACGGTTTTGTTCCATTCTTAACATATTTTGTGCTAATGTGGTTTTTTTGGGATTTTCAAACTTTTTTCTATTTTAACTATTTTATTCGTATATTAAAATTTGGCTTTGTTCATCTTGAATGTCTGCTTATTAAATCTGAATTTCTTAATATTATTAATCTGATTACACTTTTTTTTTATTATTATAATTTTTTAATAAATTATGTATTTTTTTTTATTTTTTTTGAATTTTTTTTTACATACTTTATTTGATGAAAGAATTGTATTTTTGCGATTTTTTTTTTATTTTGCTTTTTTTTTTTATTATTATAAATTAAAATAATATATACTTATTAAAAATTAAGGGTGGTTTTTTTATAAAAATAATTATTATTTCTCACATATTAAATAATGAGTATATATTATTTATTTTATTTTTTTTAAGAAAAATTTTATATTTTTTATTAATTTTCTAAATTTTAAAAAGATTTTATTAGGAAAATCAAAATTTTATAATATATATATATATATATTATTAGATTTTTTTTATTTAAATTTTTAATTTATTTGTGTACTAATATACTTAAAATTATATAAATAGACAGACCTAAAACTTTAGAAGGTAAATATTATAGAATTAAAATAAAGAATAATGAAATATATTATCTCAATTAAACATAAAATATGGATAATATCAATAATTCAATTTTTCAAACAAAATTAAAAAAGAGAATGTATAAATAATATATGATTCTTAAATTTGAAATAATGCACAGAAAATTCATAAGAAAATAAATATATAATAAATATAGATTTATGAGTCAAATAATTATTAAAGATGTCTATAATTAATATTTTAAATTAATCATAATATATAAATACTAAGTTTTTACGGTTTAAAGAAAAATAAATAATATTATTTATATATATATTATAAAATTTTATAAAAAAATTTTTATCATTTATGTATATATATATATATATATATATATATAAAAACTTAATTTTTATATAATATCTATATTTATTTAATATATTCGTAATATGTTTTTTTTTTAAAAAAGTAAATATAATTTTCAATAATTTCATATAATTAATTTTTTTTTATTTAAACATTGAATATATAAAAATTAATAAATAAAGTACTTAGTTTTTATCTTATTTAATTTTCTTTATCTTTTTTTAAAAAATCAATTTCTTCCTTCTTATTCTTATGATTTTTTTATAAACATCCTTTTTTTAATTTTTTAATTATATGTATATATATATATATGAAATATTAATTTAATTAAATATATTACTTTAAGGATTTACAAAAATCAATAAGATCAGATTTATTTTATACTTCAAATTAAGCAAAATATTTTTATTAGTCTTTCTATTAAAAAAAATAAAAAAAATAAATAAAAAAAAGGGATAACTTAAAATCCTAAGTCTATCCCAAAACTACTATTTGTAAATGGTACGATATCTTCAACATCTTAAGCAAATAAAATAACAAGATCATTATCAGTTTCTATTTATATAACATATTTATCAAAAACATTTTTCCTTAAAATGATTTAACATTTCATCCTAATTTATTTAATTTAATCAACCCTAATAATATTAAATTTTTCTTGAAATAAATCATCATCTTACTTAAATTAATAAAATATAATAAAAAAAAAGGGAATAATATAAAAAAAATATATTATATTAATTATATAAAAATTATATATATACAAATATAAATATGAAAAAAATTAAAATTTATATATATAAATAAATATATATTTATATATATATATATTTATATAATATTTTATACTCTTTTTTAAGATATATGATTATTTTATATTTAATTATTTTAAAAATTGTTTATTTATATTTAATTATTATTACTATTTATTAAAAAATTATTCATTTATACTTTTTCAATATTTTACTTATCATTTTAAGATATATTTGTAAGTTAGTTTTACTATTATATAATTTATTTTGTAAGTTTATTTATTTATATTTCTTATTCTTATGTTTTTAATAAAAGATTTATTTCTTATTATTACAATTCTTTTTTTTATCCCCCATATTACTAATTTTTATATAATATATTTTTATCTTATTCATACTCTTATACATTATCTTTTAATTATTATGTTTATTTAATCTAATTTTATCTTTTTTTATTTTAATAAATTTAATTAATACATTTATAATTATATATACAAATTCGAGATTAATGTTTATTAATTTGCCAAAATTTTTTTTAATTCTTATAATTATTAACTTAATTCAAAATTTTTTTGCTTAATAGGGTATATTCCATTTACTTTTTCTCCATACAATTCTGAATCATTAATTACTTGTTATAATTCTTAACATTCTTAAGTTTTATATTATAATTATTATTATGTAAGTAAAAGTTATTGCTTCATTTCTAAAAGATAATTTTTTAATTCTCTTTCGAAATTTAGTAAATTTTACTAATTTTCGATTATGTCTTGATTTATTAATTCTATTAGTTGACTATTTGATTAATTTAGCTTTAAATTACTTTAAGATTTAGATATTTATTATATTTAATTTAGTTATTATAATTGATTTTATTAAATACTTGATATTGTTGAATATAGTCCATTTTAATTAGTTTCTTATTTATATTTTTAGTCTTTTTATTTTTTTTTAAAAAAATATTATTTTTGTATATTTTTTTTTTTACTTTACTACATTTTACAGTCTTAATTTTTTGTTATATATTATATATTATTTTTGTTATATTTTATGATTCTTATTTTTTATTTGTTATTTGTGTTTTATGGATTATATATAATTTTTTGTTATTTTATAACCTTTTTTTTATTATTAATTAAGAAAAAAAAAAATTATTTGATAAAAATTTGCTAAAAAAATAAAAAATATATTTTTTGTTTCTTTATTGTTTTATTCGATAAATAAAATATATAGAAAAATATAAAATATATATATATAAATAAACAATTAATGAAATTGTCATATTAAAAATAAAAGCTAACAAAATATATGATAAAAAAAAAAAAAAA